CCTCCCCCTGATTCAGAATAGGTTTTAAAGGGTGATTTCGGGAGGATTGGGTCCCATGTGTTTTTATCATTAGGGGGTGTTTAATACAAGGGGGAAGGGATTAACACTGGTCTACCTGTTGTAGTTTTATCGGAGTGGCTTCAAGTTCATCTGGAGGGTTCCAAGATCTAAATAAAATTCACCAGAGATTTTGAGGAGAAATCTGGAACCCGGTTGGGTTCCAGTGATTCCATTGGTTGTACTTCAATCGGTTGAATCGATAAATCGAGACAGTTCCCCCAGATGCCGGCCCGCAGGTGAACAAAGAGACCCGCAATAGCGTCACGCAATATACACTGAAAATACGAATAACAATGATAAGCACAGGAAGAAACAGAAACAAAGTAACTGAGTCACAATCAAAGGACCACTACCCGTAGGGACAGAAGCCCAGCACTGCTGAGCCCGACAAAATATTATTGTTTCGTATCGCGAGGCATTATCAACCCGCTGCACAACTCTCGCTCCCGTCATGCTTATGTTTGGTGCATCGGTGGCTGGTGGCTTTCCAAGATGCTTGGCTTAGGCTTTAGGGCTTCGGAATAAGAGCCTACATTTTGTCCTGATGAGTATACCGAAGCAGTCAATCACATTAGTTCTGAGCATGTACGAATAATGCAAGTGTTCAGAGCCAAATGCCGGGTTTCTAGTTAAAATGCTGTAATAAAGTTTTCTAGCAATCCCAAGCTCATAGGTTTGCATGTGCTTAAGCCGATGTGTCCTGAACACGGCCTCAGTGAGTTCGACTTTTCTTCGAGGCTTTAAGGTTGTAGGTGAGTCACGTTGCTAATTGGCACTCTAATTGGCCAATGTCATCTCGGCGTGGTCATTGTTGACATTAGGCTTTGTCATTGACCTTGCAGGGTCGGCCTTGATACGACAGAAAATGAACATGACACTTCACTCCGGGGGCAAAGGAGGCAAGAGCGATATCCAGCCTTCTGGTCAGTGTCAGGGATCGGCAGTCAGATGGTCGTAGGAGCAGTAGCCTTAATTAGCCGCGACCATGTGGCAGCAGTGGTAGCAGTTAGCCAGGGTACTGGTAGTAAGTAGTAGTCGTCGTCGTCGACGTGGTAGTGGAAGTGGCAGTGGTGGCGGCGATAGCTGGTGGTTGCTGGTAGTAGCAGTAGCAGTAGCAGCAGCAGTAGCACTAGCAGTCGTCGCAGTCGTCGTCGTCGTGGTGGGCGTGGTCGTGGTCGTGGTCGTGGTCGTGGTGCTGGTGCTGGTGCTGGTGCTGGTGCTGGTGCTGGTGCTGGTGCTGGCGGTGGCGGTGGCGGTGGCGGTGGCGGCTGGTGGCGGTGGTGGTGGTGGTGGTGGCGGCAGTCGCACATGCAGTCGCAGTAGCAGTAGCAAGAGAAGGAACATTTGCTGCTGCTGCTGTTGTTGTTGTCGGTGGTAAAGCATCCGTAGTCATGCTAACCTTCTCGAACTAGTTCGGTTTCACGAGTGCACCTAGTGCGGTAATTGCCCGCAAGCATGCAGTCCGCTCACGCAGTGTTCAATTGCAACACTTATTGTGGTTGTGGTTGTCGCTGTTGCTGTTACCGTTGTGGCTGTTGTTGCCATTGTTGCTGTTGTAGTTGTGGTTGTGGTCATGTTGGGGGTTGTGATCGCTGCTGGCGTCGTTTGCCGCCGTCGCTAGCGGTGCTAACAACTCGTGTTCCTGAAGTGCATGTACCTGTCACTTCCCAGGATCCTTCACGATTGGCTGCTGCTTGCCGGGGCGCACGAGTACACAACTCTGCGAATAGGCTTTGGGCGACTTCGCGGGCATGTCATTGGCAGTAACAGAGTAGCAGCAGGGGTAGGAGCAGGAGGAGGAAGCAGTGGCGCTCGCAGCAACACTACAGGCAGCAGCAGCGTCTTCCGGTTCCTCCTCCGCCTCCCCCTCGTTGTAGAAGCATGGCAGTAGCATAGAACGAAGAAGGGCGTAGCAGTAGACTCAGCAGTTCGAGTGAGGCATTAGGACAGCTGTCAAAGTCCGGGTGAAAGCCTGCATCTAAACAGAGCCCTAGACTCCAAGAGACGAATCCATACTACGATGGAAGGCTTGGTGTCCACGTTTTTTCATCTTCTGGCCGTCTGCGCCGCCTTCCTCTGGAGCCTTCCTGGCAAGGTTGAAACTATGCGAATGACGTAATTCATGTAATGATGACACTTGCGCCAAGTACTAACAGTATCGCCGCAGCGACGAAATGCAAAGTGATGCTAAACCGTAGGGCTCTTCTGAGCCACATCCTTCGACCTGAAGCGCCTATGTGCTGCAGCAGGGCGTCGGAAAGCGGGCTGGATACCTCATGCTTCTCCTGCCGTTAGCCTGACTGCGGGAGACGTTGTTTTCACGGCTAGATCGCGTATAGGTTCCTCCCGACCAAAGTCAGAAGCGTCATGGTCGCGACAAGTGTCTGAAAAGACAGACAGATGTTTCCACGTGTGGAAGCTTATCGTGTCGAACATGTGCAGGGAGTAGGTTGTGGGGGTTTCAGGGTAGGTGTTCGGTGTCCTGCTTTGAGGGAGAGTTGAAAACGTGAGCCCTAAGCATTCACTGTGGTGCGACTTGGTCAGCAGGGGCGGTTGGGACCAAAACCTGAACCCCGCGAGTGCTGAAACCCCTGATTGCCAAAGGCTGCCCCAGTCATGCTCCGTTTGCATAGGCTTAGTCTTGTGGATGATGAGCACAGTATAGTCTTCAACTTTGGCTGGTTTGGGATGCAACCTCGCTTCGTGGGTATCGTCCTAGCCATGCGGAGGGAAACGTCCTAAACCACTAAAGCCTTGAATCCGCGGGGTACTACGACCGAGAAAGCCAGGCATGGGAGCTGTGGAGGTGTTCTTGTCTCCTATGGGGAATGGCCGCTAGAGCCTGAATGGCAAGGGCTTCGGGGGCTTCTGCAAGGGGCTTCTGGGTTGTCTGGTTTGTGGATTATTATGGCTTTGACAGGCTTAGTGCTTGGGGTCTAAAAGCACTGCTTCAGTGGGAGAAAGCGAACTTGCAGGGAAAGCTGATGGCCTATCAGCATTGCCACGGCCTTATCCTGACGGCATGAACATTTCTGAATTATGGAATGGAGAAGCACAGCGACACTCCAACATGAGGTAATGATACTGACTGCGATGGCCAATGCCAGCTTGGGGTCCTTCGCGTCAGCTCTCATCCCGCCGGCGCACAGGGAAACGATTTTGAATGTCGTGCCTTCCGTCCTGCCTTTGGCATCGTGGTCCTGTGGTGGTCCTGGTGCTCGTGATGATCTGTTGCTGGTCCCCGTGGTGATTCAGGTTGTCCTGGTCGTTCTTTTGGTTTTTGTGGTCGTGGTGGTGGTCGTCGTCGTGGTGGTCTGGTCGGAGTCGTGGTCGTCCTGGCGCGTGCGTGCTCTTTCACTGTTTGGGGATCTGTGCTGGCATATACAACATACACGGGACCTTGTTCCCATTCTGAACGCCCCTGTAGAGGCAGGTCCGGGCGAAGCACCGAACCAGGGGAGTTTGTTCGAATGTTTCTTCCTGGGCTCTGCTCGCCTGAGGTGAGTGCGCTTGCTACTACGTCCTACCCGAGCTTGAGTCCATATTTGCCATTGGCACGCCATGCTTGCTGTTTATCACGGCCGTACGGCCTCTCGGATAAATTCATCGTTTTTTGTTCGTAGGCTTGTTGGAAATTCAAGACTTCGGCTTGATTTATAGCGTTGACTAGGAATCATTCAACATTGTTGGGTGTAGAGCATGTCTATGTCCATGTTAATCTGTTTTTGTTGGTATATCCATATGTGTATGCATTTACATAAATACACATACAGCATATACATATACATGTACCTATACATATATATATATATACGCATGTACAAATTATCTTCTTTGGCTCAAACTGCCAGAGGTGTGTGTGTGTAATTATGCGTGCATGTGTGTGTATGTGTGTTACGGTGTGTAAGTATGTATGCATGCATGCATACATGTTTGTGTGTGTGCATACATTTATATATCCATGTGCGTATGTGTACGCATGTAATGTGTGTAATGTGGGTATGTATGCATCTGTTTGTCTGTCTCTCTGTCTGTCTGCATTCTGTCTGTCTATCTGTCTGTCTGTTTGTATGTATGTATGTATGTCTATCGATGTGTGTCGATCTAAACTTTATTCGAGCTACTTCTCTATCTTTCCAGCTAGCTAGACAGCTAGCTAGCTAGCCAGCCAGCTATCTATCTATTATGACCTTGATACTGGAAAGGTCAGTCAGTCTAGTTTGCGCCAGGGATCTCCGCAACTAGGAAGACCGGTAGGTAGATAGATGGAAAGACAGATAGATAGATAGATAGATCGGTAGATAGATAGATAGATAGGCACACGCACACACGCACACACAGAAATACTACATCTACCTTTCCTAAGTCTGTCATATCTAACTTTTAGCATCGTACCAGCTTATGTCACGCTACAATATACCTCCTGCGACTTCAAAAGGTCGTTAGTAGTTCGTCCACGGCCCAGCAGGGAAGCAACAGAAGCACAAGTACGAAGGATTCGGTAAGGTAAGATTACGGCGTTTAGGGATTAGGATAACAGGATTTAGGGTTTCGTGTTTCGGGTGCCGTTCGTAGCGAGGCATCCCGGCAGCTCCGTAAGACATTGAATTTGCTTGCCACATGATGCGTGCCTGATGGGTATGCGGCTTTGGCGCAGGAATCCGTAGCGGGAGGTCTGGTCTTGCAGGCTCTTTCGTTTTCATGTGCAGCTCAGGGACTTGCAGGTGCATGTGCAACTGAAACGACTCGGCTTCTGTGCTTAAGTTAATGTTGCCGGACTGCGGGCATGCGGAGGCGAGCAACCATGACGGGTAAAGTGTGTAAAGATGGCGAGTCCAGAAGTGCATGAAATGGGCACAGTTCCGGAAACACCTCAGGAAGTTGGAGAATGTCCATCGTGCCCCGCTCGTTGGCGACTACTTGTACTACCAGCAGCAACTCGTCCGACTTTCAGAGAGACAGCTTCCACCTTTTCGTCTTCCTTGTGCTGGCGCCAGACTTCTACTATCATTTTCTATCCATAATGCTCTGGAGCACAGAAGGTAGACGAAAAATCTTGATTTACTATCGATGATGCTAGTTACAGATCTTCTTCGGCCTACACTGAGATCCCAGAATGCCCAGTTCAAAGCTTCTGGTCAGACACAGCAACTCTAGCAGTTTCTGAATGCTCGACAGTATACAATATGCGGCTCCTCTGCCAGACACACGCTTCGCAGTGCCAAAATCGCACTGCAACGCAGTACTATTGCAGTACCAGCATGTCATTTTTTCGTCGCCAGTCACACTCGTAGCCTGGAGTAATCGCTTTGATCTCCTGTTCGTGTCTGTACTTGTCGCACGATATGCAGTCCTGATGTTACTCTTCACCAGCATCGACTGTTCTTTGCTATGGCCGTGTGCGGACTATTGCCGCGGATTGCTTTCCTGCAGTCGAGCACAGGATGGTTCTCGAAACTAGCGTGAAACGTAGTGCCATATGTCATACTGTGGTTGTTGTTGCTTCTGCATTGTCACTGAATCTTCCCAGGTATGATGCACCCTACCGCCTGGTGAACAAATCCAATGGGGTGAGCCTGAGTCTGCAGGGAGGGTACATCAGCAGATGCTGCTGTAGGAGTTAATTATTGTTCTTTTTGACATTGAACTGTTGTGTTGCTCCTGGTTTTTGTGGTTTTGCCTGTGCATGTATAGATTAGTTTCCCACAAATTTTGCCAATACATATCTGACGTTAGCTTGCCTGCGAAAGACATGCCATGCCGAGGAGCACTGGAACTTTGCTCGTCAGCTCGGCATGCGGCTATCATGCAGAGGCCGTTGAGCGGCCGGGTATCGAAATAATGGTGGTAACACACCCATGCGTAATACTTGTAGCAGAAACCGATCTTTGTAAGAGGGCCAATAAGGATATCCGATATCCATTGGTACAGTCAGGTCAGGAGACCAGACATACTGAGACAACGACAGCAGGCCAAACCTCAAAGATCACAGAAGGGCTGCCGGAAATGAACGGTTGCCAATACACCGGAGGGTTTGTTCAACCCCTTCTCTTCTGCGATGCTGGAATAGAAGTCGTTTCAGAGGTTGCTTGTATGAAGCAGAGTGCGAGGTTTAGGGCTCAGCACTCGAATCTCGCTGGTGCTGTCGGTGGTCTATTCGTTGCGAGCTTCAGCTTCGTTTTCAGACCATTTAACCCGCACAGAAAGCCATGAACCTTGATATCCATTCAGTTGCTGCAGGATGTCTGGATCTAAACCTCCGCCACGCATCCTCGAACCTTTGACATTTCCGACCTCCTCAGACATCCTACAGCTAGAAATCATGCTAAGCAGAGCAATAACAGTGTGTGTCCCGTTGCCAGGCATCAGTGGCATGGTCAACAGAATCGCAAACGAAGCATGCGCCCGGAAGCCCACGTGCTATGGCGAATGAACCGAACTGGCCTGGTCAGCTACAACTCTGAAGCCCCACGGTGGTTCGAGCAGGCGTGGTATGACCAGCTCAACATTGATCAGCTGCGAGGCGTCTATGCCTGCCACCAATTCCTGTGCTATGTGGTGTTTCTGGGAGCAGCGTGGCTGCAACTCTTTCTTTTGTCCTCTTACTAATACTCTGACAACTGCTTTAATTGGAAATAGCAATTCGGTGGGCACGGTTTCGTCTTAGTCTTACACTGCGTCACAATTCCAGGCATTCTTTCTCTTTGAACCAGCTGTCAGTTCAAGCTATGTCCCACTTCTGTCTCTGAGCCTTTCCTTGAGTGCCCCAGAGTATAGCAGGAGTATCCGAGGTGGGATCCGGACTCCCAGACGTAGGATCTTTGTGAGGTGCTTGGCTCCAGCAACCTAATGAGCCTTAGAACTACAAACATTCTGCGGAAAGGGGTAGCCCTGAACCGACCTAAAGCTCCTTAGCACAGACTGAGGTTGTCTCCATTTGTGTTGGCATCGGCATCGGTCCGGTGTCCGCGAGGCAGGGTATGCAGAGCAGGATATCGGAAAGCTGGGTGGTAGCAGGTTACCATAATTGAAGTAGCATGAACAGTTCAAGGGGAAGCTTCCTCGCCGCCATCGTCATACCTTGATTGTTGCACCTCGGGCGACTGGCACGGGTAAGTCGAAGCCCTCAGATCTGGGCCCAACAGAGCCACCCCAAGCCCTAGGGCACCTGAAAAGAATTCCTTGTGTCCCAGATCCATCGAGCTGATCCTGAACACGTCAGCCGGCGGCTGGGTCTTGAATGTGCTGCTTGAACCTTGCCGGCAAGAGCGAACAGCCATGGAGATTCCGAAACTTTGCAATAATCCGCGAAACCCAAAACCCAAAAGACGGCATTCTTCTTCCTCGAGGGAGGAGCTGGGTTCCCTCTTCATCGTAGGGGCTTAGGCGGTTTAGGGGTTATAGGGTCTCAAGCTGTTCGTTGGTGCATGAGCTGCATGCCCGACGGACAATAAGGCTGTCGTCATGGCCGCCATTTGGTGCTTTCCAGCTTTCCTCATTTTCCGACTGGTACAGCTGCTTGGAATGAAACATGTCCGAGGTGTTTCGAATTGGATTGCTTTCGACCCGGTGAAAACAAGTATACTCCACGGTATGTGGACGGCATGGAGGCATAGACTTACGTTAGCAGCTGTCGGATGTAATGCTTCCCCGAACTGTAGTACGACTGCCTGCCAGTATCGCGACTGCACGCCACTTTGGGGAAACCAACCCATCCATCTGAAATGCCGCCGAAATGTGATGCTTTTGGCATGTGTGGCCTCTGCAAGAAATCTAACAGGAAGGACGAGGACATAGTGGAGCTGTGATTCCGATCTGGGCACGACCTGCCCACCTCTTCACAGCAATCCACCCCTCAGTCACCTCGAGTTTCGCAGCACGGAATAACTGATGAGTCCTGGTGTAGCTAGCCGTATCATGTGAATCGACTGCACCGGAGCCGTATCTATAGGGTCATACAGGTATTGTATGGTACCTAGTTTATACTTCGGATCCGTTATAAAGAAAAGTTTAAAGTAGGTATCCCAACAGAGGGACTTTATAGTTCCCGGACCGGCACCTGACCTGACTTAAGCTTCCTCTTCAGGTCCCTGCCCATCGACTGGATGGCAATGCGCCCGAGACCGGAGCTCTGGGAGTCTGCTGGCATGGCTTGATGCACTGTAGCAATTCTCCCTGTCAGGGTCCAACCCCTAGAAAACACTAAACCCCAAAACCCCAGTGATGGAGGTTTGATGAGCCCTCAGTAATTGCAGGAAACCTTTTCGTAGATCTTCGCCCCGCAATCTGCCTGACATCTCTGTAGTTGCTCAGGATGTCTCTGATCAATTTGCATCAGGAACTCCGTGACTCCTTGCCATGATTCCGTTAGTGAGTCGTGTGATTGATAAGCTTCGAGCTTACATAAACCCTGAGTTTCCATTCATGAGGTGCACCTGTCACTCTGGTTGACGTTGCATTGTCAAGAGTTTCAGTCGACCCCACCCCAAAGACCCATTCCAATTGCCAAGTACATGTCCAGCCCGGATCACAGCTGCACTGAACTACTTTGTCCGGGGGCCCCCGTTCCGAAAACAGTAATCGAAGTAAAGGCTACGCTACTAAAGTACTGGATTTTCCCTACCCGGGACAGCTGAGTCAAGCTGAGAGAAGCCAAAGCTATGCTCTGTAATGACCTGCCGATCCAGCCTTTAACAACCGATTGTGGCCGACACGACTACAATGTAACTAAAATCAAACCCCGAGAAACTTAGACCCCAAAGTCAGAACCAACTCTGCGAACGCAACAAGCTTAAAAGTTGCAGCGTAAAAAGTCGAACCTTCATATACTTACCCGACCCTTATAGACAATACACCACGATGGAACCATGCCCTGAACGCTGAGTAGTCCGAAGCCGTGATATGTTCCATGCGTGGAAAAGGCTAGCTAGCTTGCTTACACAGGGATGTATGCGGGCTTCGCTTGGAATCTTGTTTGCCAGACATGATGCTCGCTTATCAGGCTAAGGACTAACGTGTTTGGCAGTCAACCCCACGCAACCTCGAGCCCTGCGATCTACATGGCGAGGTATCACTCCCCCCGCATGAACCTCGCTGCGAGGGTGACTTGGGTTGTCTTCCTCGCCGCTTGCCTGCTCTGACGGAAGGGAAAGTGTAGCTAGCTTAGCTACAGAAGTGTCTTAGGCTGACCTCCAGCTTTCGGGCAGTTTAGCAATTAATTGGACTTGCTGCGATAGTCCCGAACTTGTGTGGTGAAATCGCAAGCGAGGCACGAGCTTTGGCGATTTGGCCGTCTAAAACTTGAGGTTGCACAACAAGGGGGTTCTTGTAGATCGTCTAAGATGCCCCTTGTGAGGTCTGGCCTGTAAATCGATAAGAAGCAAAATACTAAGATGCCCCTTGTGAGGTCTAGCCTGTAAATCGATAAGAAGTAAAATACCATGTACTACTGATACGACTAACTTTATTGGCGCAGGTGCCTTTCGAAGGACATGAGCCATCCGGTTCCGGGACTCGTGCCAGTTGCAGGTTGAAGGTGTTGGTGACCTGTTCGTACGGCCTATGGACATCCTGGGATACATGTTTGTAGAGGGGTTGCAAGATGCTGCAAGCAACCAAGAGCCAAGCCTGTGCGCCATACTTGTCATACGCGATATGCCTTGATACACTGCAAAACGATAAGGAGTAAAAACACGACAACCCGGTGGGGATAATTAAGGGGTTCATAGCGGTTTTTTCCAACCTCACTTCACTGCATGAGATGCAGCCGTCCTTGCACTGGTCTAGTCATCATGCCCTACTGTAGCAGCCGTAACAACCCCCACCCCCGTACCCACACGGCCTCCATTGGAGACAGCATTGCTATCTTGGCTATCCGCCGCTGACCGACGTCGTTCAACGTCAATCAAGCGCCAAATTCCAGGCATCCTGCTTGATTTGGGCTTCCTGGAT